ACCCAAACAATAAATACATGAGAGACTTCATTAGTTATTTTAACTGGCATGATGGACTTAGCATCATCGTAGGGCTGTTAAACTATCTATGACGTGACATCATATATAATTTGCAGGGGTTTTCTTATTGCGCTTCATGGAAATCTAATTTATGGTTACACCAAACGTGGTTTCTTAGGTTTTGTTTTTGTGTTTTTTTTTGGTATGTGTGTGGGGGGAAGTTATTATTTTTATTCAGAGATCCTTTCTGCTCCTAAGTCTGCCTTTTTAGGCCCAATTTAAACGGTCTGAGAGGGGGCACTTGTCCGGATGTGGGTTTCTCAGACTGGTCCCATTACATGAGGAGGGATGGTCACCCGCACTGCTCTGGTTTCCAGTTTGAAGATACGTTGAGAAGGTCTGGGAACCACAAACACTTTAAGGGCCTTTCCGGTTGGTTCTGGTTCTGCTATGATATGACAGCCGGTACTTGTTAATTTTGGTGACTGGAGTCAGAGTGAGTCTGAACCTAACTGAAAGCGAGGCTTGTTTGCACCGAGCGACTTCTGAAGGCGCACACAGGGCTTCCCCAAGTCTGTGACGGCACCCTGAAATAGCAGTGCTTTTCAGAGGTGACTAAACCTGAAAGTTTCTAGCCAACTGACATACCGAAGCGAAGGCATCATTGGCACAGAAGATAGAGAATTTTATGATAAAACACGTGACTTCTGCAAACTTTTGTTCCGTCTCATGCTCTGAAATGTGTTTTTTATATCCCACATGATATAATCTAGCTGTGCATGTTGCGGATAAAAGCAGTGCTAACAAACTGGACATCTCCAGTGTCTGAGGGGTACAACGGTGTCTGCGCCCCAAGTCTACGATCTAGGTAGTGTGGGTTATTGGGAGGCTCCAGGGGTTTAAGAGATGGTCATGTCCCCCAAGAATTCACAGCTGGCCTCTTCCTTTCCCTTTTGTGATAGAAACCAGGGTTTGTGCAGGGGCTGCATCGGGGGCGGGGAGGGGGCGCTGTGCCAGGACACAGGGGTGCGAGGCAAGCGGGCGTCCTGCCCTGAAGCGCTTGCCTACACAAGTTTCACGTGCCTTCACCTCATGCGCAGCAGCCTGCTCTGCAGAGAGAGATGCTTGTGTTCTTCACTCTGCCGCGTGTACTGATAACACTGAGGTTAATCAGCTTGAGACACACACGGTCCGTTTTGGAAAACAGACTGCGACGTTTTGGAAAGAGGTTTCTAGACCTTCCTTCGAGATGATTTAAGTAGCTGAGCCAAAGGCCTGTGCGTTCGTCCTGCCTGTCCGGGTGAGCGTGTGGGGGAGGCCACCGAGGGACCTTTATCTCCACAACTCTTTGCATCAGTGACTAGGAAAACAATCACGGTGTTGTAGGACCACTGCACGCTCTCTCTGGAGGAGAAAGCTTGCTCTATCTAAAAATTTCCATTGCATCCAGGAGCAAATCTGCATCATCGCAATTTGCTATTTCTGCTCCAGGGACGAATGAGCCGACACAGCTTGAGCTTCTTTAGCTGCTTCCACTTTAGTGTCCTTGTCACTGAAACACATATTTTCTTTTTCAAGATTCCGGCATGAGGAGAATTTGACTTTACTTGTTTACCTACACTCATATAAGTCATGGACTTCTAGAACAAAACCGTTAAGGTTTCTCAGCCTCGGCACGGCTGACATTTTGGTCTAAATAATTCTTTGTAGCCGAGGCTGTCCTGCAAACTGTAAGATTTTTAGCAGCATCCCTGGCATCTGCTCACTAGCATCCCTCCCCCGTCTCCAGCTGCGACATCCAAAGTCGTGTCCAGGCATTGCCACATGTTCCCTGGGGGGAACGTCACCAACCCCAGGTGGAGACCACTGCCCTGGAGATAATGAAGGTCATTATTAGAACTCTAAGCACATTCCATGTGCTCAAACCGTTTCTATTTAAAGAATGACACATGCAGGTTTCTGGCAATTTGTACAGAAACGGAGGCTTTGTGCTACAAAATGTGGGACTCTCTCTTTTAGGTGATCCTCGGCAGCACGGGATGGCAATGCATCAGTGTAATCAAAAACCTCGTTTAGGGCTTCTGGGTGGAGTCCCAAACCCTCCAGATTCTATCAGTTCATTACATCAGATCATGTTGGGTCTTTTCCAGTTGACAAATTGGATTTTCTTTTGGAAAGCGTGGCAGTTGGATTTATAATAATATTTAGGATTAAAGGGGAGGATGAGAAAATTCATTTTCTCTTGACATGAATGCCCTTAATTGAATTTTGGAAAGTGTGTCTTGGAAGAGCAAGTCAGACGTTAGACAGAATGTTATGAGGTGTACAGATGCTTCAACATTGGTCAGAGTAAAATCAGATGCCAGATGCTTGAGGAGAGGGGGGGGTCTCAGGAAAATGAGTTGCAATAAACTCATGTGATGGTTCATTTTATGTCAACTTGGCTGGGCCAGGGCCCAGATATTTGCTCAAATGTTATTCTGTAAGGGCCTTTTTGATTGAGATTTGTATTTAAATCAGTGGACTTTGACTGAAGTATAGTGCCCTCATGTGGTGGGCCTCATCAAATCAGTTGATGGTCATAATAGAACACAGACTGACCTCCCGCTGCCCCCCTTCCCAAGCAAGAAGGGAATTCTGCCAGCAGACGCCTTTGGACTTGAACGGCAACGCTGGCTCTTCTCCAGGTCTCCAGCCTGCTGGTCCACCCTGTAGATTTTGGACTTAGTGGCCAGCCTCCATAATCGCATGAGCCAATTCCTTCTACCCACCTACCTACCCACCCATCCACCTGCCCACATCCTGTTGGTTCTCTTCCTCTGGAGACCCCTGGCTAATGCAACGATTAAGGACATTTCAAGTACGCAGTTTCCTGGGTAACTGCCACCGCCCACCCACCGGCTCTGTTTTTCAGGAGCATATGGCTAGAGACGCCTCCGGGGAGAGAGTTATGCAATGCCTGGCTTTTGTTTTGTTTTTGTTTTTGTACCGCAGAGGCCAGCAGGATGCCAAGTCTTGGGGAAGGAAAGTTTACTTTGGGTTTGCAAGAAGACGCATTTAACCAGCATTTAACCAGCGCGGCAGCTGTGAAGTTAGAAAAAGCTGCAGGACAGGAGAGCCACAGGCCGCCGAGGCGGGGAGGCAGATGTCGCAAAGCTAATTAATTAATTAAAAACCTGCTGGGTCCGGCAATCTCTCCCCTCCCCCACAGCCCTGCCCTTTCTAGGGTGCCTGAGCGGGGGTCTCCAGGACCGGCCCTCGTTCAAGCCGTGGGCCTGTCACGCCCTGCAGTTCTGTTCCCCGCTGTAGACTCGGACTCACCTGCGTCCACACCTGGCTCGTGAAAGAACCAGGACCAAGGACGGGGAGCAGCACTGTTCAGGTTCGGGCGTGTGCTCGTGTGCACGTGAGTCAGCACTTGAGACTGCAGCACGCCCGGGTCCTCCCCTGACCCACGGGGCACTGGGTGAGACCACCTCAGATCTGTGATCTGCTTCTGGATCTCGGGCTTGAAGAGCTGTGATTATTTTCGCATCCTGCTCGTAGGGGTTACGGGAGACCTTTGGGGACAGGCAAATGTCTTGTTGGTCGAAAGCTGCCCACAGCCAGCCCTGGGCTTACTGCTGCTAATTCCTCCTTAAGCCTGTTCCCAAAGGGCCCACCCAGCTCAGGGCCAGCTGCTAGGCCCACGGCAGGAGTTTTAATCAACTGCCTTCAGCTTTCCATTTCAGGACATTTTAGAGTAGATGATCAGAATCCAGGTACCAGGTGTCCAACAGCCCAACTTCGTGTCTGGGAAACAGTCTGTGAAAATACCGCCACACGTGCAACCACCTGGCAACCCTAGGAAAACGTAAAAGAAAAACCTCTGAGACATAAGAATAAACAAGTCATGAGAAGAAATCCGACGGCTTTATTATAACCATTATTATTCTTGAAGTTAACAACTGGTAAAATTCAGGAAAACATTTTGTTTCAGTGACCTAGAGCCCGCAGATCCATGCCAGATGCAGCTAAAGGTACATAAAATATGCCCCTTGGGAAACAGCACGGCGCTCCTGGCTGCAAAGCGGAGAAGCATCAACGATGCGTCTTCATCTCGGTCGCAGAGAGCACGGTGACCTCGTGCTGCGTGCCCTCCGCGTCCCTTCCTGGCTGCCGGCTCCAGGACGCGGCTGGGGGAGGCTGCTTGCTGGTTGTCGGTGGCACCTGTGCTGCCCAGGGGGTCTGCATCTCCAAAACCCAGCCTCAGATTATACCGACACCTCAGCGATTAAGAAAAACCAACTGTGACGACACCGTGCCTTGAGGGTTAGACCCCAGCTTCTGCAGTGAGGTGGGAGACCGCATGCTGCCTTTAGGATGTGGGGTGCAGTGCTTTTCCCGTCGGGAAGGGCGAGAGGCGGGTCTGACCAGGTCTGCCTGGCAGGCCTGGGTCTGGTAATGGCATCAGAGGCTGCCGATGTGCCTGCGGCAGGCGCCACTGCTGGCGAGGGGGGCGGTCAGGGCCTCTGATCTGGAAGATGTTACCATCCGCGTAGAGGAGGCTTTTGGCTTTTCAGGGAGCAGGGAGCTCTGCAGCCGGGAGCTGGGGAGCACCCAGCTCTGGGCGGGAAACACATGCAGAAAGTCACATGGGGTGAAATTCGGTGTCACTGCCGTCTGTGCTGGGTCTTCCCTGGCCTGCCTCTCTGAACCCTCCCCGTGATCAGCACCCTCACTTCGCAGCTTCCCCGGGCGGCACGGCTGTGTTGTCCTAGCTCTGAAAGGCACCGGATGACGGAGCTTCTCACTGACCTTGACCGAATTCTCCTAGATTTGTGCCCCTGGCTTTTAAGAGCAGGGACTCTGGGCATCTGCTGAAGCAGAACGGGAGCTAAACGGAACGCCTGGTTTTACTCGGGGCTGGGAGTTCTCCAGGGGCGCGGACACCACAGGTACCGCCAGGGCCCCTGGGAACAAGGTGTGGGGCCCGTTTCTGGGCTCTGAAGCGGAAATGAAAGGCAAAGGAAGGGCGCTCTGCTCTGCCTCAGATTTCCCAGCAGGGCTGTGTTTTGAAGAAAATGCGGTTCTCTTTGCGGGGGAAATACCCAATGTCGGGGGACCGAGGCACGGCTGGTGAGGGCTCCCGGTCCTCGCCGGTCACTTGCGAGGCTGCTGGATGTGCTGGGTTCTCGGGGACGCGTGCTTCTCCATGGAGGCGTGGGGCTTCTGGTGAGCCACCTGGGCGGCCGCCGGGGGGAAGTCTTTGTCGCCCTGTGGGGAGACAGAACACACGGTTCATCGACATCGAATCGGGGCACGACCCCCATCCTCCCACCCCTGCAGATCGGGTGATGAAATGGGGGCCTGTGGGCAGGCAGAGGCCTGTCTCGTGGGACTGGGGGGTCCTGAAGCTTTCTGGGGACCTAAAGGGTCACCACGGCCCACATACCACCCAGAAGGTGAGAATGTTAGCTGTCTCTGGCCCCCCGCCACGAGGTCGGTCCCCAGGCGGCTCACGGGGCACTAAAGGTGCTGGCGGCTTTCCTCTGCTGGAGTGGTTCCTGCAAGCTTTTGAACTGGGGATGAGACAGAAGGAAACGCAGGGTCTTAAACTCCGATTTGCCGCCACAGCTGTGAGTGGGTGCTGGTTTGGAAGGGAACACACAGGGCAGGGCCTGACTCGACCGCTGAGTCTCAGAGAGGGTACCCAGCTGTTTTCAGGGTGTTGCACATGTGATAGGGCTGGGGCCTGGCCTGCCCTGGGTGGGCTGGAGCCATGGCTGAGCAACAGGCCATGGTTGACTTTGGACTTGTGTCCACATCTAATTTTCTCACATATAGTAGATGTGCCACCTGTCTGTCCCAGAGTCTCTGGATGGCCGTGGTGAGCCGTCCCTGGCAATGGCATTTTCTTTACACATCATACGCTAAGTGCTCATGTGTACTGCGAGCCACAGAACCATGGACGGTACTAGTGAGCCATCCCTGAAATGGAAGTTTGCTGGTGGTGGGGGTCTGCATTAGAGCACAGTGCTGGGTCTCTCCAGGAGAGGGGGCTCCTGAAATGTAGAGAGAATGACTGAAACCCAGGACTCTAGTCCAGGGCTCAGCAAACATCTGCGGTGCGCCAGACAGTAAGTATCTTAGGCTCTGCGGGTCACACTCTCTGCCTCAACTATTCAGCCCAGCATGAAAGTGGCCACAGGCAGTGCAGGATGGGCGTGGCCATGTGCCACGTAAACTTCATCCTGGACACTGAAATTTGAATTACATATAATTTTCACACGTCACAACAGAGAGTTCTTACGAGTTTTTCAACTGTTTAAAAAATGTAAAAACATTCTCGGCTCACGGGTCACCCAGAGCCACGTGGCCTGTGGGCGGCCCTCTGAGCCCTGGGCGTTTACAGAGATGAGGGAGGGGTGCGGGGGCAGAGGCAGCAGCTCCCGCTCACGCCGTGTGGCCCTCGTTGTCACCGTTCACAAATTCCTCACTACACCCTCCGCGGACATGAGATGGCAAAGTGCCACGGGCCCCGGCCAGAACGGGGTTAAGCAGAGACAGAAGGAACCAGGAGGCACGTGCCGAGGCCCCGTGGGGTGGAACGGATGGCTCTTACCCGGGCGATGACACCGGAGATGAACACGGTCGGTTTGGGCGGGCTGCGGGACAAGGAGAGAGGGTTTAGTGGAACGACCCACGGACCGGCAGGAAGGGCTGGTTTTAGGGGAGGGTGACAAGCGGCGGTAGAGGAGGGAGGAGGGAGCTGGAAGCAGACCCTCTGCCTCTGTATTGTTTTGCCACAGTGACTACCTGGCCGCTGGGCCGGGACACACGTGGGGCCCTCCTGCTCCTGGGCTGAGCTCAGGCGAAGCGGGAGAGAGGAAAACAGATTGAGCAAACAGCAGGCGAGCTGCCGAAATCCCGTTTTGCTTCTGTTTTTCTGGTTCATCCTTAAATTGTAAACACGGGCCAGCCCAGGGCTTCGGTTTCAGATTTTGAACACAGGAGCTTCTGAAGCAGGAAAACAGGGTCACACTGGGTGACCTTGGTGACTCCGGCTAAGGAGAGTCCTGCCCTCGTGGCTCCCAGCAGCTTCTACCGGGTGAGACCCTAGGGCCAGCATAAAGCTCCTGGACCCTGTGGGACCCAGTAGTAAAAATGTAAGGTCCTTGCGAAGCTACGGTCACTTTTTAACACATTAAATCATACTGCGCTCACCTACACTGTCACCAAAACTGAGGAGACAGATTACAGGACCAAAGTGATGTGCGTTCATTGCTGAGAAGTGGACAAACCAAAACATGTCAGAAGCGCTGTGATTCTGCCACCTGGAGACGAGCAGCTGGCACTCTGCTGTCCTTCCCGTCACCCTTCCTGTGGGCAGGCAGACGCGCTGCATAGTTTTCTAATTTCTCTTCCTTACAGAAAGTCACATTGCTCCGTCGTGTGCCTTCTGCACGTAGGACACGGTGCGCTTACTCCAGGTTATTCTATGCTCCTGTATTCTTAAATGGCTGCGCGTGTCACCGCTTTAAAACATCAGAACACGTCGCCAGTAGCACACAGGTGCGCACACTCTTGAGTGGCTCGAGCAGAGGTCAGGTGACCTGGGAGCGACTACAGGTGAGTCCAGCAGCGAGTGCGATGGGCAGTCTTGTTTCAGGAGTCCTGCTGGGCAGAGCGAGCGGAATGCATCCCGTGAGCTGCCCGGCCCCTCCCGTCCGCTCTGCTGCTGGGCCCGTCGGAGGAAACTGCTCATCTTAGCTGTGCGCTGCTGCAGGCAGAGGGCCCAGGGTTCAGCGCGCCCACTGTTTACACCGTAGAGTTTAGCGCAAACACCCGAAACCCTCCCCACGTGACCTGTTACTCCACGAGACTTAGAAACTTCAAGGCTTCCTGCACAGCACAGACGTGTCCCCACACGAGCATGATCTGGTTCGGCTTCCTGCGTGTGGTTAGCTGACTTAGATTTTCCCTCTTCACTGGAAATGCGGTTTGGCCACGGGATCGGCAGCAGCACAGGTGAGTAAGCTCAGCTCGGGTGTGAACCCCTCCCTAGGCCGTTTGCATTCGTTTGGACCCCCTCACGTCCTGTAGCGACTCCCCACGCCACCCGTGGGCCCGGCCTCCAGGGCGCTCACCGCCACGGGTTCTGCATCCAAGGCTCGGGAACCGTGTTCTGGATTCTAACATTCTATAAATGTTTGGGAAAGGAATATGGAAATGGTAGCACAAAAGTAACTTGAAGGTTCCTTTAAAAATCTACACAGAGCCTGAAGGAGGGATGATTTGTTTCTGATAACAAATTATGCAGCATCACCTTCCAATGAGGCCCGGCCACCTACGTACCAGGAGCTGGCGCCTCCACTTGCCACGCGTCTTACGACCTAAGTAAGTCAAGGCGGAAACAGAAACGCCCCCTCCCCGCAGCAAGAACCTGAAGACAAAGCCCACCACAGGGAGCGAATGTCGTCAGAACCAACACACATACAGGAGACCAGCTCCTCTGCTCCGGGGACGCCCGAAAGGTGGCCAGAAGCTCAGGTCATATTATGTTATATATGTATTTATAGATATGCATACAAATATGTACCGTCTCTGTGTGTGTGTGTGTGTGTGTGTGTATTCAATGTAGTGTTGAAAAGAAGATAAGCAGAAAGTTAAAATCACTTCTGTTACTGTCTGTATCTCACACACACACACACACACACACACACACACACACACCGAAGCACAGAACTGGACTATAGAAAATCATAACGGAATTGGATCATGCTCCGAGGAAGGGGAGCGTCTGGCTCCCAGGAGAGGTGGCCCTGTCGCAGGCAGAGCGCGGGCCTGCAGTGGCCACCCTGGTGCTTTGCTCCCAGCACCTGTTCCCTTGCGTGTGTGCACAAAGGGTCTCCGGCCTTGAAGCCCCGGCGTGCGGTCCCCACGTCCCCCCGCTGGCCTCCCCGGCCTCAGAGGCGTCTCAGAGGTGAGCCTTCACACTCCGGCCCGGGGTGTCTCCTACTTTAGACAGGATGAGGGTGGGTCCTAGGTCTACGTCTTGGGAAATGCATGTGTGAGTTGTTATAAGAGGTCACAGCGACCTTGCTCCAGTCCCAGCATCAGAAAATACGAGCGAAAGCTGCAGCCTGGCTTCTGGAGTCTGTCGCCCAGGAGCGGGTATGATAACTTCCCTGGCGCTCACTTTAGCGTCTCCCTTTCAAACGAGCTTCTCGAGGAGACTCACAGCATGGCTGCTGAAAGACTCTGGGGCTAACAGAGACCCCCTCCCCTGCCAGTCCCGGCTCACTCCCTAAGGTGACGGGGACCGGTGCACGGCCGGGTCTGCATGGCGCATGAGGACGGCTCTCCTCCCTAACCTGACTCGCAGAGGCCCTCCGCTCCGACCTGGCCGTACCGGAGCTGTTGGTTTTGAGGGCTTGCTGGACTCTGCTCATCAAGGCCCAGCGCATCAGAGAAAAGCCTGTGGACTCGAGGAAACAACTGTGCTTCCCATGACAGCGGGGGCGATGGCTGGAGGTGGGCTGGGGGTCGGGGGCCGGCAAACCGGGTGCTTTACGGCACGCTCTGCACCAAGGGTGAGGTGGGGGTTTCTGAAATATTACACCTGGAGTCTATGAAGCATTGCCTGGCTGGGGGCGAGCTCCCAGAGAGGAGAGCTCCCGGAGCAGTGGCCTTCCAGCGGCTGTCTATGCCCCAGGTGGTCCCTTGGCAAAGAAACATAGAAATGGTAAATAATCAAAAAATTATAGAAGTCAATATTCAATTTTATATTTTCACAAATATTAAAAATAAGTAAATACTAAACAAGAATTAAGTTCCAGTATCCTTGCTTCTGGCATATGTCTTAAAGCTGTATGTTATCAGTGTGTGTCACATCACACTTTTACTGATGGGGCACACAGCCAAGACTCCTCGGCTGCGGGTCCAACACCACCGGGCCCACCGGGGTCTCCAGGAAGCCGCTGAGGCCACCAACCCCGTGTCCTGGCCCCGGCAGGCCCTATTCTTCCTGCCGGGTGTGGTGTTTGTGACTCGGCCAGGTCAAAGGGACTCAGGGCAGAAAGGGCGCTCAGGATGTGACCATCCCATGTGTGCACCCTGAAAGGGACGATTCTGGGCTGAGGGGCAGAGGCGGTAGGCTGGCTTCAGTCAGAGTAGACTTTTGGGGCACAACCAGAGCGGGGCGCGTTCAGTCCCATTAACCTGGGGCAAAGGCGGGAGGTCGCAGACTTTACCCACCTACCGTCCTCCGATGCCTCCACCTGTTGGGACCGATAAGAAGTGAACGAGGAAAAAGGCCTGAAGATCCGCACATCTGAGGAGAGGTTCTTGTTGGAAGATTGCACTTTTTAAAAAAACAACAACAAAGAATTGTGCTGTTCGTTTAAAGTCTTATCCGGGCCGGAGAGGAGACTGGCCTGCATCAGCTCTGGTAAACAAGCCCTAAGACAGCGTCCCAGCTCCCCGCTTGCTCCCAAGTTTGCTTCAAAACCTCAGCTTAGCTCAGCAACTCATTTTTCAAAAGAGTTTATTTACCTTCTAAGCTATTTTTATTGTGCAACTCGGTGCCCTTAAGTACATTCGCAGTGTTACACATTTCCAGAACTTTTACATCGCTCTTGACAGAAACTCTGTGCCTAGTAAACAATAACTCCCATCTCTCCCTTTCCCTAAACCCTGGTAACTGCTGTTCTAAGAACCGAACTAGCCCAGTACCTGCCTCACCTAAGTGGAATTACACATTATGTGTCCTTTGTGTGTCTTGCTTATTTCACTCACTCAGCATAATATCGTCAAGGTTTGCCCACGCTGCAGCATGCGACAGGACTTCCTTGCTTTTTAAAGGCTGAATAATATTCCACTGTAGGGATGGACCACATTGTGTTTATCCTCCTGTCTGTTGATGGACAGGTGCTTGGGTTTTGTCTGCCTTTTCACCGCTGTGATTAATGATGCTATGGACACTGGTGTACACGTGTCTGTTTGACTCTGCCTTCGATGCTCTCATGTGGACACTCGGAAACGGAATTGCTGGGTCGTATGGTGATTCTATGTTAAATTCGAGGAACCACCAAACTGATTTCCACAGGAGTCCCACCATTTTAGATTCCCACCAGTAACGCACAGGGTCCAACGTCTCACGCCCTCACCAACACTTGTTATTTTCTGTTTTTCTTGTTTTTGATAGTAGTCATCCTAATGTGTGTTAAGTGATATCTCATCGTAGTTCAGATTTAGCAAATTATTTTAAGAACGAGCCTCTTCGTATCGAGGAATAATGAGTATCGGTCTGTACTCATCATTCATTCAAGGTCTTTCTGACATACAATTCCCCCGTACCCCCCGCAGCCTTCCTCTCTCCTGGAAAACTGAAAAGGCCGTAATCGACAGAAAGGACGTGTGGCCCCACCCGTGAAGATGACAGGAAGCTGGCCTCTTGTATCTAACGGCGACATCTATTTTCACACGGCCTGTTGCTGGCCGAGCGCGTCTTGCAGTGTGGGTTTTCAGCGGGCCTGGCCGAAGGGCCCCTGAACTCCGTGCCTATTTCATCTACAATTAATAGCATCTCAAATTCGTAAACATTTATTGCATTTACGTGGTAAAAACACTCTAAAGTCCTTGAGCTACGGTGGCTTAAACAAAA